CTATGCAAATTTGTGCTTAGAAATAGGAGAGATACCAATAAAATAGAAAATAGCACAAGTATATTCAATACCAAAAGATATAGAATAAAGATACAGTTTAAATAATATTTGTCCAATAGCTTTAATTGAAACATTCAAAAAGGTTGTAACAAAGTCAATAACAAAAAGACTTAGCAAAATATTTACAGAAAGAGAAATACTTAAAAGACCAAATTATGCAAGCCTACTAGGAAACTTAACAGAACAACCTGTACATGTTCTAAACATGATAATAAAAAAAGCAAAAGAAAAGAATAAAAGAAATATGGATACTTCTGCAAGATATAAAAAAGGCATTTGACTTAGTTTCACTCAAAAGTCTTGAGCTAGCCTTACAAAGAGTCAAAATACCCAAAATGACAATTAAATACATATTAAACCTCTTCTATAAAAGACAGCTTAAAATAATCACAGCACATGGCCTAACAGAAGAAATAACAGCAAGAGATAGAATAGATTAAGGTGAAGTAATATCATCACTAATATGATGTCTTTTCTATGACCCACTATTAGAAAAGATACAGAAAGATAAAAGGTTAGGCTATATAGTAGAACAAGAGTTTAAAGGAGAAATACACTGTAACAACATTACAAGCCATTGCCAAGCAGCAATTGCATATGCAGATAACACAAAATGGATTGCAAAAAGCAAGAAACAACTTCTAGAGATTCTAAAAATAACAGAAGACTTCTTTAAAATAGATGACATCAAGATAAATGAATCGAAATCAAAACTAATAATAATAAACAGAAAAACTAAAAAAGAAGAAAGAGAAATAAATTTTGAAGGAAGCAAGATAATAAAAGAGCCAAGAAACAAAATAGTACATTCATTAGAAATTTGGCTAAACAACAGAATGTGAGAAGTCTTAATAAAGAAGAAAGCAAAAGGGATAATAAGCTAGACAATAAGAGACCTTAAATATAAAAAAATGACGATGAGCCAAATAGCATACATAAACAAGATGGTAATAATACCAAAATTAAGCTACATGTTGCAACTAACAAAGATATCAGAGAAAGGGATAAATAAAATACAACAATTAATGATATGCTTGGCAAAACAAAAAAGTGGCTTATCAAGAACATTAGAAAACTATATAATAGAATACAAAGATCTTAGTAGCTACAGAACCTATGACAGGAACTAATAATAAAACAAATAGAAGGCCTAATAGCAAGACTAAACAGAAAAGATAAACTAGAGCAACTAACAAAACTGAAATAATGCAGGATTGTCAAAGAGCAAGTCTGATAAAAGACATATAGAAAGTAGAAAAACTGCCAGAAGATAAGTTATGTTAGAAGAACAATCAAGCCTACTTGATGATAGTAAAAGCAAAAGAGTTAGGAATAAATATAAATACAGAAAGTGAACTATGAATAACAAATGGTTATGATCTTAGAGTAATCAAACTAGTAAAACTATAATTATGAAAAAAAAGCGAACCCAAAATAAGTGAAGCAGGACTCATATATCTAAACCAACTATTTGATACAAAAGAAAAAAGACTAATAACATAACAGCAATTCAAGACTTACCAGAATCAGTCAAGCAAAGGCAAAAAGGCAGAGTGGTTCAAAATAATAGAAACAAAAGTGCTTAACAGAAAAGTTAAAGAACAATTTAAAACAGACAGATGTAATATATAGGCAATGAAGATCAAGTAGAGAACCCTGTCAAAGGATAAAAAAAAAAAGAATGAATAATACATGGTACAACAAAGAATAGGCAAATAGGAAAAATAGTTAAAAAAAAAAAAAAGCTACTAATAGAATATTGGCAAATATATAATATAGAAAGTGACTTAATAACAAAAATCGACAAATATAAAAAGTGTTCAAGAGATGAAGAAACAAAAGAAAATAGCTGCCAATATTGGATAAGAATTAATAATAATATAAACACAGTTTCAGATATGCTAATAGGGAAGAATAATAATATAATCAAGGCAGCTACCAATCAACTAATAGAATATATAAGAACTGAGAAACTAAGAAAAAATGAACAGAAACTAATAGAACTAAAGATATTAAAAGACCTAGAAATAAAACTAATTAGAAAACAAAAAATAAGTGAGAATGTTAGTTAAGAACTAGTAGAGATTTTAAAAAGAAATATATTAAGAGACAAAAACAAATATATAATATATACAGATAATATAGCAAATAAAAGAAATGAAGAAGAACAACAAACAAAAACATAGATATAGGTTGGGTACAAATAGCTGAAGCACAAAATTGGTCAAAATAAGAGATAGTATTAGAAGTAAAAAGATGGTCTATGTCTACTACAGCTGAGGTGTTAGCAATACAGACAGCAATCTTAACAATATCAAAAAAAAAAAACTAGTAATATTTACAGATAGTAATGCAGCAATTAGAAACATTAGTAAAGGATTAGTATGTATAGATAGAAATGAAGTTCTTAAAAAGAAAAATGCACTATGGGTATTGAAGATAATAGATATAGTAAAAACAAAGAACATACAGATAGAGTAGATCAAAGTTAAAAGTCATAGCAAAAATAGATAAAATAATAAAGCTAATAGCCTTGCGAAGAAGAGAACATTAAGCAGAAAAATAATTTTTTCAGAAGAAGTTAGCCATGATAAGATAGAGTACTGCCTAGAATGAGAAAACAAACAAATAAACATACTAGCAAGACTTTTATATAAAATAGTAACAAATGCCAGACTGGAAGTAAAGTAGAAAGAAACAATAGTAATTAAGAATATTGAGCCAAAAACAGAAGTAATGATATACAATTGGACATACTTTTGGAGAAAACTAGATTTATCTAAAGAAGTACATTGCCTAATAAGAAGAAGCAGTACAAGAAGAAGTTCTTTCATGAAATATATATTGAACAAATTTCCAACATTGGAAGAACTTAATAGAAGAAGGCCAGATATATATACAACAGCAGAATGTCAAGTTTGTCAAAGCAAAGTTAAAGAAACACAAGAACATTTGGCATTATGTAAGAGACAAGCAAATCTATAGAAAAGGATACAAAAAGTATCTATTATGACAGCATAGAACAGCTTAAAAAAAGAAGAAAAGATATGAGTCCCATCTCAAGTATTATATATAACACTTTTTAAACAAATAGAGTAAAAGGAAATAGAGATAAGGAAAGCACTAATCAAAGACCTAATTTTTAAAACAATTCAAAACAGGTTATCTCAAATTCTAAGTATAAAAACAAAACAACATTTTGCAAACATATTAGCAGAAACAACATAGAATACATTCTATGAACAAGTCTGAAGAATCTGTTGTAAAAAGATCAACACATAGGAAAAAAAAAGAGGAATAATAAGTAAAGAAAAAAAAGAAGACTAAAGGGAAAAGAAAAGTCAAGTATAAAGAAGAAAAGAAAGACTAATCAGCAAGCAATAGAAGAAAGAAAAAAGAAAACAAAAGAAAAAGAAGAGTAAATAAAAAAAGAAGTTAGGAAGACAATTAACAAGCTTGTTATAAAAGGGTGAAGACCCTTTTATTACAAACTTTAAGTAATTAGACAAGCAGCTTACTTCTGCTAGAAGTAATATGGCAGGTTGCATTTAGGTGCCATTAGAGCAGCTAGGTGATGCTAGGCTTAGTTGTTAGGTAAATTTATATAATAACAGTAGTAGTTTCAAAAATCTTAATAAAGCACTAGTGTGACTGCTTAAAAAAAAAAAAAAAAAAATTTAGTGAATTGGCTGAATATACACTAATAATCAAATAAATTTAGATCAAATTTGGTAAAATTGTATATAAAACATTGCTAAATACTTGCTGACATATAAATAATTTTTAGTTAAATTTAACAAATTTATATATTTGGCTTGATATAATTCTTTCTAATACATAAACTATTTTAGGCCAAATATTAAAATTACATTCAGATTATTCAAATATAAGCTATGTATATATAAATTGATTAATTGTTTTTTTTTTTAGTATGCATAATAAAATTTACAAATTTTATAAATTGCTAATGTATTAAATCAAACTATACTATATAAATTATTACTTTCTTTTAAATCTTTTTTCAAATAAATTTAAAACAGCATCCTTTTTTTTTTTTGTTTTATTAGTTTTAATCTCTTGATTTAGCCTTTTATAGTCACTTCAACTAGATTTTAGCTTTGCATTTGATGTAGAATTTAATGCCAAATTTGAAGTAGCTTTTGATGTATGAATCTTTTGAAAATTCTTATTTTTATGATTAATATTTGTGCTTTTGTTTTTTGGTCACATTACTGTAGTTGCTAAGGTTATAGAAAGTTCAATCTTATCTGTGTCTAACTCATCACTTGTACCAATTTCTAAATTTGAAAGTTCAATTTCTAACCAATCTTAAGATGCACATTTTTGCTAACATTTTTTATAATCTTTGTTTTCTATGTTTTCAGAAAATATAACTGATTGTAAAGGAATGTATAATGGTTTAATAACTTGATAACTGCCAGATGAATGTTTTTGAACTAGAAGAGTTTCAAGCTAGAAAACTTTATTTTTCACAGTTAATCTTTTTTGAAAGATTTTTTGTGCTGATTTACTAATCATCCAATCTTTTGTTCTTGGTGGCAGTTTATAATCAAAATGAATAGCAAAGTAACCTTTGCCAATTATTTTATGCCTTTTTCATTCAGGTTGTTTTACAGTTGCAAGACAGTTAATAGATGTGTCAAGTATTTTTTGAAATAAATAAGTTATCAATATATAGATATACATATTAAAGTACTGTAAGTATTAAACAATTATTATAATAATTCAATAATAATTTCAAAAAATACATTATAATTATAATTATTTATACATAAAGTTTAAGTTACACTTCTATTAATTTACTTTAATAATTGTTTAATAAATATAATAATATTAATTATATTAAAAATAAAATCAAACTGTTTGCTTATTTTAAAACTTTGATATTATAATAATACATATAAAAGAATTGTGCTAACTGTAGACTTTTCACCTAGAGAAACTGGTCCTTCTTTTGGATCTGAGCAAACTATTACATTATTTAATTCATCATTCTGTATACTACCAAGACTGTCAATAACTATTCCATCTTCTGTAAATTCAAATCTATCAGCTTCATATTGATTTTTTCTTTCAATAACTGAATGCTATTTTTTATAAAAATGTTCATATGCAGTGATTTTTGTTTTCTAGTACTCTTCTATCTCAATATTAGTACAGCTTTCATTTTCTGAATGAATATTTTTATTATTTATCAAAAAGTTAATATTATCAGCATCAAAGTTTTTAATAATAGGATTAAAAGAAGAAACAAAATGATTAGTCATACTTTATCAATTAAAAAATTTCTAGTAATAAATAAATAAATAAAATAAATAATGAATAATAAAAGATGTATACAACTATTATTTAAGACTATATTTTAAAATTGGCTAATATATACATTATCTCATCTTGTATTTCAGTTTACTCGATGTTTATTATATTTATTAGCTACTGGGTCCTCTTTTATTTTTTTATACCCAACTTTGTGTTTTCTATAACTTCAAAGAACTTCCAGAATGTTTTTACTTATATGTAGAAACTTATCAATAATAATGTCAAAAATTTTTAGTACCTATGTTTGCTTTATATAATCATGTTGTTTTTGTCAATCAACATTTGGATCAACAATAAATTCTATGTCTTCTGCTTTAGCAAGTCATTCAACAGTATCATAAACAAGTATCTGTATAAAGTTTAACTTAGTATATTATCATAGATGTTATATAACAAAATTAGCAATATTTTATTACCTAAAAAACTGCATGATGTTCTTTATTTACTGAAATATATTTAGATGTTGCTTCTATTCTATTATTTTTGAAATTCACTTTTTCATTTTTTTTATTACCTTTGAACTGTTCTGGCAACAAACCAAGTACCTAAAAAAATCCATCAGAGCATTTTGTACAGTTAATTTCTCTATTGTTATAAAAAAAATTTTAATACAATGTAACAATAATTAGATAATTTAATATATACTAATAAGATTGCTAGTGCTAGTATTTTTTTTAGTAAAGTAAGTTGAACTATGTATTTCTGGATTATCTTTATTACTATTGAATTATTATCTTCATTAAGCATATCTTCATCTAAATCAGTTTCTTTTGAAGAGTCAGATTGGTTGTCAAGTTAGCTATTGGGTTGGCTGTCAGATTAGCTGTTGGATTGGCTATTATCTTCAGAAATATACTGTATATTTCAATATAGGATTGCTTTTTATTACTAGTTATTGGTTATTGTTTAAGTATAAGCAGGAAATAAATATACTAGCTGTACTTCATCAAATTTAAAGATTTTTTTTTTAAAAAAACAATTATCATATAAAAAATTATAATGCTAAGATAGAAATAGATAAATGAAATATAATTTGTAAAAAATACTAACAGCAATCAAAAGCTATGCAACTTTCAAGTAGAAACACAAAATGAGATACAACTTATATATTAATTATAATAAAACTGATTAATTAATAGAGTCAATAATTTGATTTGTATTTACTTTTAAGTTATAGCAGAGACAGTACCTGATCCAAAGTGAATCTCTCTTGCTTGTAATCAATTACAAATTAAATCATTTATGTTGAATTCAATTGTGATAGATATAATCTCTTACCAGTTATAATATACATGTAATATTAACAGTCTCTGCTATATTTTCAAGCAATTTTTTTATTATCAAAGGTTAAATTAATTTTTGAAATTCATAACAGTAGCACCAGAATTAAATAGTTAAAATATATAAGTTATTATGATTTTAATTATAATTAATAACAGATTTAGTATCTAAAGTATATATACAATTTTTATACTTATTGATAGCCAATTTTAAAGTAAATAATATCTACATATAAAGTTATTGATAAGGCAGTGATCCTTTGGAGAAGTTGCATTTTTTTTTTAGTCTTGTACTCTATAATAAAACTATTAAAGCATTGAGAATCTAAAGTACATCAGTAAAATTATAGATACGAAATATTTCGAAAGAATTTGCATAGCACAAAAATTTTGAAATAATCTGAAAAAAATTTTAAAATTTTTGCGAAATGCAAATTCTTTTGAAATATTGCGAAATAAATTTTGAAATTATTGCACTATAAAAAAATTTTTGCAATATTGTGAAAAAATTTTTGAAATTATTGCGCAGTAAAAATATTTTGAAATATAGCAAAAGAATTTATCTAAATATGTAGAGTGCAAATAAGATGAAATAAATTAAGAAATTATTTGAAGAACTCAAAAATATTTCGAAATATTTCGAAATAATTTTTTT